CAGATTAATCGATTATTAAAATAATCGTTAGTTGCAGCCCTACTTCTCTTCCTTTTTTGGTTTGTGGGTTTGTGGTTTTGACCATAATGGTTTTAGTATGACTATAACAAAGATGTTTTATTTTTTTTTGGAGGAGTGTTTTTTTTTATTACACAAACCTCAAGAACATAAAATGGTTTTCAGCATGTCATATCTTAAAGCTCTTCTAATGGTTGCCTGTTCATAAATCATAAATGGCCACTGTAATGCAGCAGGGCGAGAAGTTGGACTTTGTCTGTGTCATCATGTGTTGGGAATGTGAGAGACAGTTACTGAAGCGCTCTGCTCAATGAATGAGCGTGTGGGAAACAGAAGGGAACATTCCAGAGTGCCGCTGGACTGCTGTATTCATTTGGATTCAGAATCAGCACGATCGAGAGGAACAGGGAGGGAGAAGAGCGTGTGAGTTTGTGTTATCACTAGTACGCAGTCGCGTTTAGAGGTGCTATCTGTTGCTACAGCTGGACTGCAGTGAGACCCTCATGGACACGTAGCTTTATATTCTGGTGAGTTTTATTACATTTTTGGACATTTTAATTTGCAACTCTTTTATTTCATGCTTAAGCATTTTGAAAAACATCACAACCTAGATATTGAGAATTCATGTTTATTAAAGACTCATCATGGGTTGACATCTGCTGACTTTTGATCTGTGCAAAGGTGTGGCCTATTGCGTTTTTTCCGACGCACATTTGATTTGCCGGCTTAACTTAATGGTACAGATCCGTGGACATGACATCTATCCTCGCAGAGCTGTCTGAGTAAAACCAAGCTGAGCTGGTCGTAATCCTCTGTCTGATCTAAGCGGACATTGATACGGGATCGTTTTGGGAGAGGCAGGGTTGGGGGAAAGGCGGCATGCGTCCAGCTGATCTGGACAAAAACAGGACATAATCACAGTAGAGCACAAGCTGTGCATTAAATCAGCGGTCATTCATCACATTTCTCATCTGGATGTGTTTTATGCTTTTTTAAGAGGTTATGATTGAGTCAAGGACCTCACTAATGGATCAGCCATTAGCTAATCACTTCCTCATCTGCTTTCTCTTTTCCATCCTTCTGTCATTATATCAAGCAGATGTTTTGTACAGGGCTGATCTCCTGCAGTTAATATCTAACTTCATGAGACTTCATAAGCCATTGCCATTTCTCTCTTTTATATTTAGCATGATCTTCTTTTTGCTCTTGTTCCACCATCTTTATTTTTTTTCTTCTATGTACATGCATGGAGGGTTATAGTGGAAAGATGGCAGTTTTGGCCAGCATAACAAAAGACTGTATTGATCCAGGCTGACAGTGCATTACAGGGCTGACTCCATAGTCTGGTCCCTCTTCGCATTGTTAAAGTGCTGTTTTGTTAGTTTTCCTGACCTTGGATTAGCCTGAACCCTTTCCAAATGCATCCTATGATGGATTCGCTTCAGCAAATGGAGCACAGCATGTGATTGTCAGACAACATCCACATGCAGTCACACAGTAATGCTATTGTTGAATAAACCCATAGAAATATGTGGTAATTTAATTATCTTAAAGATTTTATAAAGAAAGCTTTTTAATTAATGTTTTTAACAAGGGAAAGTTTTACAGTTTGTCAAATATTAAACCATAATAAAGTTTTGCATATAGTCAAGGCTGGAATACACTACATGACTTTTGCACAGATTTTTGCCCCAATTTACAGTCTGGACGAATCAACACTGTAGTTGCCGGAAGTCATCGCTAATTTGACGATTTTGGGTAGTTAGAGTTTACAGATTTCACAGAAAATCACGTAGTGTATGATGGGCACAGACTCTTTTAAA